ATTCATTTACAAAAATTACCTAGATTTACGATATCCGAGGACTAGGCTACTATAAATAAATGCGGCTGAGGAAAAAATAGGTTAAAGACAGTAAAAAAATACTTTCATTGCTATCATTAAGATAAAAAAAAAACGCTTCTTGTTATCAAAAAAGTTTACATTGCGATATAATATAAATTGAACTATAATTTTGGCCTACTTCAATTCATCTACGGTCAACAAAGAGGTAACCGACATTTTTTCAAAGGCTTATCAATATTAAGTAACATTTTATAGCTTATCGTTTTCACATGATTTATCTGCTTGTTAAGCAGGTCTCACTTGAAAATAATAATCGAAGTTTCGAGCAAACAAGAGACGCCCTTTGAAGTTTGATTTCAAAATACATTTATATTTATTCTAGATGCTTTAGTCCGTGAGGATTGAGCTGTTTGAATGTGTTGAACGCTTTACAAATGAAATAATTAAGATCGATTGTCGCCCTTGTAAGTGGTGCGTGTTTAATAACGGTATCGACAGCTTTCGACGGTGTTCATGTCTAGTTCACGCACCATTGTATATGGGGTCTTTGTTTATTTCCATTTTTGATAGACATGCGTGTACAATTACTCTAATGTGTTAATTAGTAGTTTGTTTGCTGGTATGTTTTGATCAATTAATTACTTACATATAAAAATATACAATTAATTTATAGATGATAACTTGGACACACAATTGATCATATAACGGAAGTTTCGTAGACATATTTGGCACATGGATTACTCGAAAACGCAATTTAATTGGTCACGCTACGTTCATTTTCCAGAAATCTGCGTAAGGATATATTATATAACATTACATAATACCAAGGAACACTTAAACGTCTTCAACATTCCATATTCTTTATTGATTATATGTTATAGTAAAAGTGTATGAACTATAGAAATAAAATAATTAATTTTAAAATGCGCATGCGTTAAGTTTTTATGACTTTTGATTAAATAGGTCAACTCTCGTCACGGGGTTACAAAGATGTTAAAGGAAAAGAACTCAAAGAATGAATTGTTAAATTATAAAAGCCGATATTATTTCTCGCCGCCGTTCAATTCTCTATGCGCCAAATCAATACAGCCGTCGTACTTTCGCAACTGGGTCGCCGTTTGATGGCGCTGCAATCACCAACTTTTTTTAAATGTTAATAGTTCTATTTTAAGGAAAAGAAACTTTTCAGCGGGAAATTGTTAATGGTTATTATAATATTAACAAAAAGTTATTTATTTATTATATATATAAAAAAAACAGTTATAAAAAAATGTATAGATATAATGCATAAATGCATTTTTTTATATAATTTGATCCGATCAGTAATCTCAACGGACGATTTATCTTTATAGTCCAATAAATTTGAATAGATATCTTCTAATTCGCTCCTATTTATCATTTATATCTTGTAAATACTTTTAGAACTCTTTTTGAATAATAATAATAAAAAAATTTCTAATATCCTATTGCATTTCTTATTGAATTATGAATATTCATTAGCAGAAAAAAATTTAAATATTCAAGAAATTTTCATTTTTCGTCTATTTTTTCTTTAAAATTCATTACAAACAAAGGTAATATTAATATAGAAAGTAGCAAAATCTTACCTGCTATTAAATAATTTATTTCCGGGACAATGAATCAAATTATCGGAATTTCTATGTCTATTCATATTGACAGGGAACTCAATTTATCCTTCTCCGCTAATGTATTCATAAATTTGTTGCTTAATTAAATTTATTATCATCAAAGTTACTGTTTGTCAGTGTTTGTCATATGGTTTTTTGTTTTCCTTTATATCTTGTGTAAGCTTTTTTTAAAAAGAAAAAATAAATCTTTAATAATTGCGGTCAAAGAAAATTAGCTTAGTTTAAATATTAGGAGAAGTTTTGCCTGAGGCTGTTATCACCTGTTTCCTATTTTTCACGGGCAGATGGAGACGTCTGGTATATCAATCAATAGATAAAAGTACTTTTCCGACAGCTGATAGGCCTGAATCGATGTATTATATTGGCTCTTAACCATTTACAGATGTTACTTATTTTGGGCTTTTACTAGTTTGAAGTGAACTTAAAAAAAAAGTTTTATTGTCTAATTTGAATATTGTAATTAGGAATTACTAATGTTTGTACTAATCGTTAAAATTTCTGATAATTGACAATACTAAATCCCATAAACTAGAATCTTTATAAATCTATTGAGAGAGCGAACTTTATTTTGACCCATATAGAAGTCGGTCACGCTTTCCAAATAAGTCGTTCTATATAAAGTGTAGAGCAAATAGTGTTAGGTTGTTCTGCCCCAAAATTTTACACCCTTATAATACACTCTTTGAAGATTTTGTGTAGCCATGTAGGCCCTTATTTACTTTACCGCAGCCTTTTTTTTTACTTTTTGGTAGATAATCCATCAAATAACGATTACACTTGATCTTGTAACCGTAACAATAAACCTTTAGCACGTTTGGTTACCCTTTACTATATTTTGCCAGGTTAAATGTTTCCAAACGTATTTTCGCTCCGTTCTTTATTTTTCTTAATTCTAACTTATCTAATAATTAGTAAACAAACAAATAAATTGTAATTAGTCTAATTGATTAAACTATGCTAATTATATAATGACTACTTAAAGACCAATGAATAGCAAATATCATTCGATAGTTAGAATAATAATATCTACATAATTATTACGTCAATTAATTCTTTTGATTGCGGTATTACAGAAGAACTTTAGCAACAGTTAATCTAATAAATGTAGAGATGAACAAAAAGTAAATTAGAGGGAATACTTTTCGATGCAAGAATGGTAGAATGTGATGAAGAGTTGTAATTGGGTGGCATCAATACATATAATTGAAGATAAAAGAAAATCGCTGAGAACTTTAGTGGATAAAAACCTTTGATTTTGCTTTTGTAAATTCCCAAAGTAAATACTGACATGACAAATTATTTATAAATTATTAATAACATTTATAAAATTTACAGTTGACATGTTTCAACGTAATTTGTCATCTGAAATATGTAGTTTGTCCATATTTGATTCTTAATCTTGTTTCTTTTTTCATCTTTCGGCGTTCTATTTTCTCTTTTTTCTTTTTTCTATGCCAATTGTTTTTTGGGAATGAAGGAATAATTCAAGTCTGACATTTAAAATGTTACGTTTTATTCCTAAAATAGACGTCATTATGCAACAAACTATACTTAATATCCATTAATGAAAGGTCAAAGTCCCGCTATTAGACGATTAAAGTTAAGATAGTCATAAATTAAAACTTTAAATATTATATAATAGGAAATAAATATTTAGAATTAATGATAGAGTTTTTCCAAGAAGTTTTGATATTCGTTAGAAATCTAACTTTCACTGAGATCAGTACTTTTTGTATTACATATATATATATATATATATATTTAATATTAACTAAAAGGTGTCGCATTAATCTCTCTCTCTCTCTATGCATATTTATTTATTAAATAATAGAACCAAGCCTATACCAAGAAAGTGTCAAGTAAAGAAAGGTTAAAGAAGTATTTTGATAAAGACAAGTTAGAATTATTTGTATAATAATTAAAATATTCTAGTTGACTTTCTTTTAATCTAAATTATTGATCAATGTAGAAAGATGCTTCTATTGTATAATGGTATTATCTTTATTTAACAGGGGTGTAAAGTGAAACTAAAAACCATTTGATGGTATGTAACCTGAGAAAAATGGTAATTTATCTTTAAATTAGACAAGGATTTAGTTGTCAGTTTTAGGGTATCGTTTAAATATGTTATTTGAAGGCTATTCATTCTAGATAGAGTATACCGAAGTAGAACATTTCTCTAAATATTGGGGCCTGTTTTTAAATATTCGTAGCTGATTGGCTCTTGTAGACAATTTATCGCCCCCTGGTATTCTAACGTAAATCTATTTTGGAAGGGCAATTATACCGATTATCCTTGGCACTGATATTCATCACGCACATCACGATGCATTTTAGAGAATTATTAATAGATACAACGTTAAAACTGACTCATGGGGTGAATGACCTCTTTCGGAAATTTGCTTCTTTTTGTCATTTCCTTCATTATTTTGGAGATTTCCAAATCAAATATGAACTATATATATGCTATATAGTATATGCTCAGTATTCTAAAATAATTTACAACCATAACAACATGTAACACAATTGATGACATTGAATAAATTAATAATTACCTAATAGTGATAAATTTCCTAATTAACATGAATGTAGATTTAATTCATACGAAAAGTTCCTATGAAGCGGATGGTACATGAATAAACCATTCGAATGGGGGCGAAACTTTTGTATTCATTGCACTTAAGAATAGAGTGGAGAGTAAACGCCACCACATCCTCTAATTATATTACGTCATGTTTTAATTAGTGCATCTTTAATAGAAAATATACGTGAATGTGCATTTATGAATGAGAAATTAAATTACATTAAATGGATTGACTTTGGGAATAAGAAAATCCATCAAGAGAATGAAAGTAGGCGTGTACATCACTAGATTTATTATTTCTTTTTTTTATAATAGCTTTTAATAAATTAATTAGTAGAGTCTTTGTTATTTCGAATCTTAGAATGTCATTTTAGGTGCAGTTTTATTATTCCAGCTTCTTTGCGTTACTATAGTGATTATAGACTATTCTTTTTGACACGAAAAGAGGACATTGTTAACTAATGATATTGTAAAAAGAGGAAGAAAATCACTTTGAAATATCTTTCTCTTAACTTGACAGATAAACAGTAGGCTTTTGAATAAGATTGAAAGGCGTGGAGTAAGGTTATTTGTATGTTTGAAATTAGGTAAGAAAAAACTACATCTTGACAAATTCTTGACAGTTAGACGAAAAAAAGTAATAGTTAGCGTCCCGCGTTGAATATCAGATTTCTACACGCGAGGTACAAAGGTGTACATCTTTACTTCTAATCCTTTTCCCAAGGGGAGTTTTCTTACACTCAAGGCAAAAGTGGGACGCTAACGCAGCGTCCTCCCCTTTCTCTAGCATCTTGACGTATAGGGATGAAGTATTTAAGGGGTCACGTTTGTTATTTTTAATAATGCTGACGAGAAGGGGCCGGGTGTCATGCTGAGCGTCTAAGAAATTCTACACAAGAACTGTAATCTGGCGTTGCATTTTGCGGAGTTCTCGTTGTCGCAGCTGTCAACCGACTGTTTGATATATGAATCGCTAATGGACTCGATTAGCGAAGTAGACACTCTTGACAAGTGTCGACATCTGGTTGTAGGATATATAACTAACCATCTAGTTCCTTTAAATATTTCATTTGTGAATACGTAATAGCGATTATGTTTGTTTGAACTGTGAAGGTTAATGGGGTCATAATGTTTGTTCATTCTTCTCGAATTTGCGGCCTATAAGGAGAAAATTCTATATTTAACGTTTCTTGTCCGATTAGTGTAGTTTGTTTGTAATGGTATGAGATATTAGAAGGGCAACATTAAATAACTTTAGACAAAAATTAACAGTTGACGAATATTTCATATTTTATGCAGTATAAGCGTTTTTGTTTTTCAACGTACTACTTATTATGAATTGTTTGGCTTATCTAACCTAATTTAAACGTGTTTGTATAAATAGTACTGTGTTATACCATATGATACACTGCAACCACATTTTTAGATATCGATATTTTAAATGAAATAGTGATTAATACATATATCAAACTATTATAATCTATTATAAACATATAGCAAATACGAAGATTGCTTAGCCATAAATAGTACTTGTGTGACTTTATAGTAAATTTGTCAATAACAAAAAAGATAAAATTATTAAAACCACGTAGAATCCAAGTGAGAAATAGCTACTTTAGGGGAATTGTAATCGTTGGTATATAAATGGCTACGAGTATTATAGGCTGAGTTTTCTACTGTTTCACTACCGTAGAATTGTTTCTGATTTTGATTTTCTATTCTTCCACATTTCCATGATTGGTTGACGGCTTTCTTTATTCTTGGGCTGAGGAATGCAGCCAAATAAAATCTACTACAAATGGGGAATAGTGAGAGGAGTCTGCAGAATATATGCGCATCTTTAAGCCAATCATTCGAGAGGTCGTGTGAAGAGAAACGTCTCACCTCGGTAAATGTTGAGGTAACAATAAATGGTATAGAGAAGATGATTTGTGTCCATCCCAAGGTGAGCGCAAGTCTTTTGCAGCATAAATCGGCTCTGTCGTTTATGCTGGCTCCTCTAAACACTTTAATAAGGAGTTTAACGGAGCAGAAAAGAGTTACTAGGACAGGAGCCCAATTGGCTGCTACTAGTTCAACAACGACTCGAAGGTAAAAGTCGAAAAATAGTCTATAGGAGCTGGTACACGGTGTTGCTAGGTGTAGACTAGTGTCGCTGTTACCCTCAGCCATAACAACAAATGGGAAACAGGCTGCAACAGCTATGAGAGTTGACGTCATAGCAACTTGCCAGTTTCTTGAAGTTTCGACAGATTTCTTCGTGATGCAAAATTCGGCCACCAACGCACAGACGAGCCAAGTAGACAATATTTTCGCTCCAACATTAGAGAATATTCCTACCCGACAACGCCAGTTAGAAGAGCCGTAGAGAGCATCATATGATGTAATAGATGTCAAGTCATGAGCGTGACAAACATTGAAAACTGATTCAATGCCTCGGATTATTAATTGAACGCCATCGCAAATGGAGAATGCTGCCATGAAAACAGCTGCTGATAAAGTTTTAGACAAAGGGATGCTGATTTTCAAATTGGCCGCACATCCAATTAGGCCTAATCCGCAAGATGCCAGTGTGACGTAATCAGTATATAATGCAGTTTTATCATTGAACTCGTACGGTTTTTCGATGCTCATTGTCAAAAAGCTCTTATTTATTTATACCCAAGTCGAAAGAGTTTGTTCTATTAAATGTAGAAAGAAGAATTAATGAAGTTAATAAGCATTAAGCGATGAATGTAATATAGTATTATAGACTAACAGTAAGCTTTCGTACTTTATTATTTCATATAGACAAAACAGCGTTAGTATTAAAAGAAAGGCTTTATTTAAAAGATCATTTTAAGCAAATTCGGGTTGCAATGAGATATTCTTAATTAATTATAATGATTAATTGGGGGGAAATAGATCCTTACAAATAATAAATAATCATTTTAATATTAGAAGGAATGATAAAATTTTTATTCTTCAATATTTATAACAATTTCACCTAAAACAGTCTCCAACGTCTTGAACTTGAAAGGAAAAGCTTCACAGTATTAATGGATGTGACCTAAATGTTCCGCTTCAAATAGAAATCAAATGGAATATACTTCCTTTTATAATAGCGAGATAAATGACGATCTTTATAGTAAGTAAACATGTGCAAACAATAGAAAATAATTAACGCTCCCCATCTACCATTCCTTTGACAATGCTCTTTATCGATTTTTTGTTCTTTTATAACTTTTTAAGCAACATCTAACTAATTTTTTATGCTATTTTCAAAAAAAAATGAAAAAAATCGAAAAGTGTTCAATAAAATTCAAAAGAAATTGAACTTGAATACTGCAAAGTAAATTTTTTTTATAGCTCATAAACCTTAATTTAAGAAAAAATCGATGAAACTTTTAAAGACCCCTCTCTCTCTCATTCTATACATAAGCTAATATATTAGTATATATATATATATATATATAATATAAACCTTGTACTCTATTTACCTAATTACTTGTTTAATACCCAACTGTGAAGATAATATTGTTTCAATCTATCATCTGAATAGTTTAATTAATGAAGTGATACAACGTTTCTAATATACTTTTGAATTCTTTTAATTTAGGAGAACAAACTATAAAAATGGGTAAATACAATCGAAGTATTATTGATAGCTATTAAACTGTGATAGTATAAATATTGACAAATGAATATTAATTTCATTTATTTCTGATACTATATGAAACATTTACATAATGCTATGCTATAAATTTTTGGACAGTATCCCCAAGAATAAAAATAGTAAACTGGTTTACATTATATATGATTTTAAATAGGCTAAATAAAAAATTGATAAGTTGCCCCTTTAATAACCTTATTCATATTAAATCGAAAACAATGTGTTATTTTTATGTGAGCTATTTTAGTCAATAGTTACATTTTATATAGCCTATGAGCAGTTTTCCTGACGTAATCATATCTTCTATCGAAATAGCTTATATACTGTACAAAAAAAAAGAGATTTCTACCTGTCTCTTATTTTTGTTCGTTTAGCATTTTTCCTTTTTAAAGGTCAAAATTGTTAATGAATAAAATTTTAAACAATATTAGATACAGTTATACGTGTATTTAGTATTTAATAAGCTAATTTCCTTATGTTTACTACGCTATGAATAAATTATTTCTAATTTAGTTTACTTAAATAAATTAGTTTTCAACAGGTTAATTTATATTTATATGCATATAAATTCATATAAATATATATATATATATATATATATATATATATATATATATATATATGTATATATATTGATATACTAATATATTAGTACATGTATATTTATTAAAACAAACATATATAAATTTATACTACAAACTCATCTTTGTACTACTTTTACAATACTATAAATAGGAAATATATATATCATCCTTACGATTTTGTTGTTAATTCCATTCAATACTGAAAACCTTAAGAGCTTCAACTAGAGATCAGATGCAATTTTATTGCAGTAGAGTTAGTTATCTGTACTAGTGGCGCCAATTTCTATAATTTACTTAATTATCGCTCGGAAAATTTTTTTCCGTAAATCTTAAATTCTTGGCAATGAGATTAAAGAATAAAGAAAGAAATATTTTATTAAAAGATATTATGTGAAAAACGTTTTATTTTTTCTTTATAACCTTAAATCTAAAGTAAAATAGAATTTTATTTTCGTCATTTTCAATGGGGCAAACTGTCAGTATTTATACGGACTTGCCATTAGCATCGCAAATCGACATTCTTGTTGCTAGGTAACGTGTGTGTGAACTAAGGCATGTGTTAGACTGTTTTTGCTACATATATATACATATATATTTTAAACACAATACATAATTAATTAAAGCAATAGAATAAAATTAATAATAAAATGAAAAGGTTTACGCTATTGCTTAAATAAAGAGAATATCATAGTATAAAAGATAAAAATTCAAGACGTGAGCGTCTAATAGTTAATAATAAAAGAGAAGCTATTATTATTCGCTAACAAGATATATAAGATCTACGTATATAGTTTTTTCCAAGAAAATTCCAAATAAGAATATATCTAATTATTGATATTTTCGTAATTCGGACTTGGTAATATTGTCGTTTTGGTATATTGATACATTTCACTATATAGTATATAAACACATTAGAAAATAGATTGATTTTTTTTATATAGTTTTACCACAATCACTAAAGATGAAATATTTAGTTTTGGTAGCTGGGCCGATAATACAAATAAGATACTTGTATTTAAAAAATGTAGATAGACAAAAGCCTTGCTTTATAATTATGAAACTAAATATTACATCAGCAATAATCATTTATTATTAAATAATCATATACAGTTTTAATAATCATAGTTTTTTTAATTTATAATAATCTGCTATAGCTTACTATCTTTATATACTTTTTAATAAAAAAATTTGACAATAAACACAACTAAAGGTGAATTGTTATCAACTATGGAATATTGGAGTGCTTACCACGTTTTTAGTATTTCCTTATTTTTTTTTATAAAAAAAAAACAAATAATAAATTAAAAACGAGAAAATTCAATTATAAAGTTTATTTTTGTCAATAATTGTTGTGATCAGGTTGTAAAAATACGTAAGTCTGTGATAACAAATGTTTGTACTCCTATAGATTGTTCTTTACATTAACATTCTACATTTGTTTTTAGATGACTTACTCCCATTCGTTTATTAATAATAAGATACATATAAAACATTCACTTTCACAATAAAACTTTAACTGATCCTATTATGTAAAGAAACTTTGACGGTTTGTATTTTATATTGTTGATATGCAGGGTGCAAATATAAAAATGATGGCCTTTTCTTCTTCTTTGTAACAATGACAAACAAGAGAAATAATAATAATAATAATAATTAAGACAGTACCCAATGCAGAGTTTTGTTTTTGATTATGACTATAAGTTTTGTAAAGTGAAAACATAAAAATGGCACACATAAGAGAAATGATCCTATTTTTATTTTGGTGTTAATACTAATAATAACAAGAATAAAAAAAAAGGTACTTAAGAAAAAATTCTTTCCTTACTCAGATAAGAAGTTTGGCTATAATAAAAATAAAGAACCACATCTACAGGGTATGAGGATTATTTTTTTTCTACAAATACTTATACAGCATAAGTATAATTGATTAACTGCAAATTTTTTCTGTTTCGCATATAGAGTATGCCCTATCTGAACAATCTGCTGATTCCCAAAAACTAGTATCTGGTTTTGTAACAATTTTCATACATAATCTTGAAAATGATCTTGTAGATCTGAAATTTGGTGGTTCGTTCGGTCCCCAATTCTCATGAACTATTTCATTTGGATTTGTTGTATCCTCGTCGTACCAAACCCAAAAGTTCCTTGGAATATTGAACATAGCAGACGTCCAATATTTTTGAGTTTGCGATGGATCTGTAAAAGCGTGAAATAACAGTTTTGCGCCATCTGTTGGTTAGGTATATAATACAACTTTACCTAAATCCTTAATTTTGTTTGCGATGAAAGAATCCTCTTTTGCAGTATTTAGCGCAATCAAACGGGCACCTAAACTTGCACAATTAAGTATAGCCGAGCCAAACGTTTTTGCTTGTCTAACGATATGATAACAAGATGGAACTGTCCTCGAACCTGGGAAAAAACCAGCGGGACACACTCCTTGACCGTTTTCCTCTAATAGTAATAGTTAATAAAGATTTAATTAAAAATGTGTTAAGAATAATACAGATAGCGTGCAACTTACGATTAGCAATACTTCTAACTTGAGAATAAATATCATTTACAACTTGTGCTAATTTGACGTACAATGAGTTTATTCTTTCAAATTCTCTCTTCAAATCACCGTTAACCTCACACTTAAAGCCTTTTTGGCAAACGTCGTTGTCTAGATTATTACCAGGCGGGCCAGGAGGACCGGGAGGTCCTGCAATAACCCTTACAGTTGGTGGTTCGTCAGCTCCCAAATTAGGGCAGTTATTATTAGAGCAAAACATTATTCCTGCACTAAATGTGATAGGAAAGTTTAAGTTATCAAACAAGTATGATCTGTTTGTTTTGTATCCAGCAACTGGGGCAGCAGCATTTCCTCTCCAAACCAAATGTGGTCCGTTCTCTTTCATTATGTACTTAACTGGTATCTTTTGACTACCGGGTGTATAAAGGCCCAAATAATGATTGGGGGTTATTGTTGGTTGCAACTGGGAAGGTATATCATGCTGCAATAGATTGAATAAAGTATATTTAAGTTTTCTTTAGATTTAACAAGACAGTAGGCAAAAAGACCTCAATAAAAAAGACTGAATGTGTTAAATAGAAAGGGAAGAAGCAGAAAAGTGAAAGAAAAACATAAAGGGAGAAATAGATAAAGAAAGGACGAAAGAAATAATGAGAGAAAGAGGAAAGGAGAGAGAGAGAGAGAGAGAGAAGAAAGAAAGAAAAAAGTTAAAACATACAAATAGCATATGAGAAAGAATTATTATTCATTATTAAACAAGTAAATATAGGAATTAAGTTTGAATTAAACGCTGTGAAACTAAAATGCTTACTGTCTCGGCATAACCACTAGTATGATTATTTTGAAACTTTCTTTGCCAATCGAGAATATAATATTCCTCTGTAGACGATGTATTCTTCCTCCATAATTGTACGTAAACTGGGCTTTGAGAGCACAATTGGATCTTAATTGATGTAACTATTAATGATTGAACAGGAGCAACTACTAGAGGATAGCTTGTATCTAGTAATGCTCTATTTTCGCTCGATCTTAGAGTAGCAGCGCAACATGATGAAGCAAGACTTTGCTGACCATCAACAGTTGAATATAGTATGCATATAAAAGCAGATAAGAACAAAAAGGGTGTTATCTTCATGCTCTGCCGTCTGACCTAGCTAACTATTTCCTTTTACCAATGCCAATTTTACGTTTATGGAAAATGCTCAATATTTTTATGCTGCCACCTGCATGAGGAATAATTTGTGAATTAATATTATAAAGTACATACAGAATAACTATATATATATATATATATTTATATATTTATATATATATATATATACACAGTATATCAATAAAAAATTATGTTAACAATTCTATTTATAAAACTTCTAAAAAATTCTTAAATTTGCCAAAAAGACATTTAAAAAGAAAGAAAGAAATCTATTGTTAAGGTGTTTTATTTACTAATCTAGTTCTCTTTTAACCTTTAACTTGTCCTGCTAAACGTCTCACTTTAATATTTCCTTAGAGTTTTAAAGGGAAATAAGAATTGATATTTTCGTAAATAAGAGTATAAATGCTCTTTGTAACGTAATTGAAATTTCAGCGTAAACATTCTTAAAAAATACCTACGTCACTAGCTGGTACTGAATATTTGAAGGTTGAACGTTCGATTTATTATATATATATATTAATATATACACTTTCTTCAACTTGAACAGACTTTTTCCAAAGAGAAATTGAATAAGATTTCGTGTTATAGATATTATGACTAAATAGTCAGCCCTTATCTATTATAACATTGAATATGAAGACAAAGTGAGAAAGGCTGAGTTTTCAAAGAAAAAAAAAAGCAAGAATAGCATATTGGTTTTTCATCGAAAGAGATTGAACGCGCCCTTTACTAATACACATTCCTATCGAAACTTGGCGAAACTTGTGTCAACCACCAACGCATAAGTCGATAGGATTGAAGAGCTAATATTATATAAATATTCAAAGATTGCGCAATATATATCCAGGCCTGATTCTCTTTCCCCCTTGCCTCTCTCTCTCTTCTCTCTCTCTCTCTTTGCCTCTCTCATTTCTTAAGCTTTCGTTCAAATTCGTAAAGAGGGACAATAAGGTAAAATATATATTTTTTAATGAATATATGCCCAATTTATTTTCTTTTACTTTTTAACTTAGATACCCTTGGGTATATTTCTCTAATTAATCGTTTACCCAAAGCATAAATCGACGCCGCCAGCTAATGAACTTGTGAATTATTTGTTCAGCACAAAAAAATTTCTTTTAACTTATACGTAAATAGGAACGAGGCTAAACTAGTAAGGCCTAAGAAAGAAAGAGAGAGAGAGAGAGAGAGAGAGAGAGAGAGAGAGGGAGGGAGGGAGGGGGGGACAGTGACAGAAATGCTAGGCGATTACTGACTTTGCATTTTTTTACTCTTTCATTGGAAATTATTTCATATCATTCATATTTTCCACTTTATTGTCAATATTAACACTCAATATGCGCACACAAACGATTCGAAATACAATACAACAAGGAATAATATTTACTTAACTTAATAAAAAGCGTTCACAAACGATATGTAATTTTTATATAAATCAAATAATAAAAATTATAAGATTTCTCTTTTTTCCTAAGAATCTAGATAAACTTATGGCTTACTAAGAAAAATATGATAGAATATAGCTTGCAATAGGGGAAAATATATATAATTTAAAATAAAGAGCAAATTCAACAATAAACTCAAAGCCGCCCCCCTCTCCACTTGCTTTAGAAAAGAAATATCCTCTTTTTTACAATCTAATCCATCCTCAACAAGCAATAAGTGATAATAATAAAATGAAAATTTAACTTACCTATGCGGGAGTTGGTTGTAGAATGATGACTATTTATTAAAGCTGGCTATAGAAAACTAGTAGAAAAAAATTCAACGTATTCAAAAGCATTCTATTTATTGCGTGATTTATTATAATACATACAATATATCAAACTAAGAGTGAATTTTTGATAGGAAATTTAAATAATATATAATTATGCATAAATATATATATATATACTAATATATTTAACAAAAACTAAAATTATATTAAAAGCCTAAATTGTTTGTATAAAACTTATAAAGCTTATTCGCATAGATCATTAAATAATCCTATTAAATTTATATTTTTCAATCTATTTACTAGTTAGACCTATTTTTTGTATAAAACTTTATATATTAGCTATGCATAAATATAATCAATTAACGGCTATTCTTTGTTGTTAGGGGCTTTCTTTTTTTACTTTGTTATATCAAGGCTAGACGATTACTAGCTCTTTTGTTAGTAGCTTCAATTAAAAAAATAAAGACTTGGGCAATAAATGGTACATATGATTATTGCCTATGATTATTGCCTATCACGATTTTGCTATTAATTATCAATTAGATAGAATATTGATTATTTACCTTTAAAGGTATAGTTGAAAAAACAAAAAGAAAAAGGATGGCTAAATTACTTAGGCAAAGATTTTGGCCTAATATTGCAATTCTATTTCTACTAGTTGAAAAAATTTCTGTTTCTCTTCTCTTTTTTTTATTAAATGGAAGAAATTGTCTTATTAACTAACCGGTTTTTTCTTCTGTTCAATTTTTAGACATTTTTATTGAAATTCTATTATTCTCCTATCATCTACCCTAAATCGTGTATATTGGTATATATATATATATATATATAATATACACATTATTGAATGGCCAGATTGTAAGTTCAAATAAATAACGTAACGAAAATATAATAAAGCCTTATTGAACAGGGAAAAGATCGAACTTTTGTCAAAATAGGCATAATAATCAATAATTTCTGCTTTTAATATATCTTACCAATTTCTTACTTTTTTTTCAAGAAAGGCCATATAAAGATATTTTTCATATAAGTCATAAGAAATATGGAATGTTATCTTGAAGATAAATCTAAAATTGAAAGAGGGCAGCACCTGATCATTTAGGATTGTTTCGTAATTGCTTTTTTTCTTGTTTTCCTCTATTTACAAAAATATCTGGCAATTAGATTATTAATATTACGTTATTAAATAATTTTACTATTGTTCAGCTAATTCATAAGCCTTTGTTTATCATTTTTATACTTTTCCTCCTTTTTTTTACGTTTCCTATCCTTCTTTTCAATTTTTTTCCCTCTCCCACTCTTCCTTCTACACATTTTCCCTAGTATATTGGTTTTTTTTATATCAAAGCTTCCATTTTTGCTTTTTGTTTGGTGAACATGCTTCTATTTAGGTATAAAAGTTATAGACAAATGAGAAGGTAGAATTCTGAAACTGAGATAGAGAAAGGGAAAGAAAAGTGTAGATAGGTAGACAGACAGACAAAGTGGGAGAGAAAGAGACAGGAAGAGAGACAAAGAGATTTAATTATTAAGAATATTGAAGAAATTAGAAAAAGGACGATTATAGGTAAATTAAAGCAAAGCTATTATTTTATACTAGCATATATATAAAGAGTATCGTTTAGAGTTTAGCTGCATGCTAATCTGTATCAAAACTCAACGACAAAGGATTTATGGCATATTCCAAATGAAATTGTTAAAAGAGTATTACTAAAACTGTTTATACAAAAAAAGAAAGAGAAAAAAGAATTTACCGCCTTCTTTTAATTATCTTAACCGTAAATTGAAAAGTTATACGATACTTTCAATGAAACCTTTTCGTTGTTGTTTTCCATGTATATATAGAGTTTCGGTCAGAGTATAAGAGGCAAAATTTTGTCTGACTAAAGTAAAATTCTTAACTTTGATTTGCTAACTCTTCACCTAACTTTGGAGAAGGGTTTTCAGAAGGAAAAGTGACAAGTTTACAAGTGAAACGAGAAGAAGCAGAAGAGAACCTTTTAATTTGTAAGGAGATAAAGGAGATATAGAAAGAATGAAGAATTGCAAGATTTTCTTATTAACTTTTCTTCTCGTCATATCGCAAATGTCGATAGCTCATGATATATTTGAACCGTGGACCCCGAAATCTACAAAACAAATGTGTAAGTGGGCAAAGTTAATTGAGAAAAATTTCTGTTCCTCTTCTACTGTGGTGTACAAGAAGAGTTTCCCATATTCTTGGTCTGCAGGAGGTATTCAAAAGTTGCCGGACGATCTTCAATCAACCCACGAGTCTAAAGTAACTAAGGCGAAGATGATACCAATTTACGGGAAATAATAAAGAAAAAAGACGAATAACAATTTACTTCTTCGTGTTGTTCCTTTCTCTATTCTGCGTTTCAAATAGGAACCTTAATTTTTATATATAGAAGAATGAAAACAGTTTAAAATTCTCATTTTACAAATACCTAATGGCAAACCACCATTAAAAGCCTTAGAAAATACAAAAGAAGAAGATATTTAACATCAAATGTTCTAAAATAAGAAAGCGACAATAAAAATGATAAAAAAATGATAAACTATTTAAAATAAAAAAAAAAATGACGTCATGAGAGAAAGTAACCGCTGTTAAGCATTTTCTCTTCTATTTTAAAGAATATTTCTTTATTGATTTATTAATATCTCTAATATATAGAAGTTGCTTGTTTTTTTCCTGTTTAAGATTCATGTTTAGCGAAATTTTAAATATATTTCTTCTTTTATCTTCTTTCTTTTTTCTATCCATTTATTCATTCTTCATATGTATATTTATATCGTTTTCCTTATAATTCATGAATTGGACAGGAACCTTTACTGGCAACTGTCCTTCCGAAGCATGCCGCTTCGCAATCGTTAGAATAAGTTTTACCGTCGTCTCCGCAAACAGGTTCTAAGATTGTTGGACATACACAAGTTGGACATTCTCCAGATCGAAGTACACTAATACCTCTTTATAAGGAAAAAAAAATTAGAAAGAAAGATACAGAAAGTGTGAATGTATGTATGAAAGACAGACAAAGGAGAGAAAGAGATATTGATATAAAAGATGATAAAAAGAGAGAAAAATACGAAAATCTTTAATAAAAATATTATGTTTCGCTTACTCGCATTCAGCAAGACAATCGTTTCCATAAGTTTTACCATTGGATCCACAGACAGGACTGTAATCCCTTGGACAGTTGCAACTTTGAGCAAAAACTAAAAAAAAAAACAAAAGAACACATAGAATAGTGAATTTATTAATATATCCAAAATAAATTAAATCATATAAATAAGAATATATAGCTAATTATTAATTATCAAATATACCAGCTAACGATGAAAGGAACAAGGCTGTTACGAACAACATGTTGATATAACAAATAAGAATTTGATAAGTATTCTATGTGAAAGAACAGATGAATTTTCCATTTAAAAAAAATACAAATACCTAGAAAAGTAATTAGGTGGGCGTCGTGAAAGTAGCGTTTATTTTAGCATTTCTTAATTATTCGGCCAATTAATCAGGCCCAATGAGATATCAGGTTTATTTTCTGATTTTGAAGTTGTAAGCATTTTCCTAAGCATTTATTTTGTTTTACTTTTAATTTTTTTCTCAGTTGTTTCTATTACGCCATCTATTGCTTAATGTATAAATCTATTCTTGAAAGGCTATATCGTCCTCCAGCCGATCATTCAGTGTTATATTTTAATTGTGCAAATGAAGCTAATACAAAAGCGTAAATTATCGATTTGTCTTTATTTCGAGATATTTTAACAAGTCATTGTAGTGTTAGACTTGAAATTTTATACAATTGTCCATCTCTTTCTTTTTCCCTACTCCTCTATTTTCCTTCTTCTAAATACTTTTTCATGTACAACATATACAAAGCACACACATCTTTATATTTTTTTATTGTAGATTAAATAATAGGCTTAGTATTAAATAGTATTAGAAAAAGGAGTAGGAGAACTGTATATATAGATTCAATAGAATACAGAAAGTGAGTGGGAGGAAGATTAATGGATGAGAAAGTTTGACAAAAAAAATAACAACAATTAATACCTCAAATCTGATTATTGCCATCCATTAACATAGATATGGTACTATTACTTTACAAATTAATAAGTAATAAGCTTACAGAAATCTTTAAATATTTATGAAAAATAGTATTTTTTCTCCTATGAAGAAGATAAATATGAAATAGCATAAAGGGAAATTATGTATAGTAATTTCTTAGTTAATAAAAGTTCAAAATGTAAAACAAACAAGCTATTTTGATTTTTAAAGAAGATATATTCTAAAATCTTTCTATCTATGGAATATATAAATCTCTACGTGGTGGGTTTCCTAAAGATTTTATTGATATCGTTTACCGGAAGTACTTTCAAGGATAACTCTTTTCCATAATTTGGAAGAGAAGTAAGACACTACTCTAATTGGTACGGTAATTAAATTCGCGAGTTAGGACTTGATTTTTCGAGGACTCTTCTTTAACCATTTGTAAATAGTCTCTGGAACATCAGTTTCTTCCTCTAACAAAGATTGCATGCCCAAATGATATAATGCTATTAAACCATTTGAAGGAAAAAAATTTAGACCTGTGAAGTATCGAGCTTTTAAATTTTAATAGCTCTATGAGCTGAGTTTTATCGGAATTAGGAAACTGTTCTAGTCTTATGTCTAATTTGACTGGTAAATATCTTCTTTTCTTCGTTAAAAGTTATTTAATAGCAACAGCATTTCGAGCTTCACTTTTTGGATTACATTTTATCCAGTGAAAAAAAAATGTTCCACTAAAACATTTAAAGATCAGCCGCTTTCGAATGTTTCTAATTTGAATATATGCAAATTAATTATATCCTGTTATTGTTTATGTCAAAATGTGAAAAGGCTTTCATTATTAGAATATTTATGTAAAAGAAATTGGGCTTCTAGAACCATTTCATCTCTTTTTTACCTATCTAATCAGTCTATCAAAAAGTTTCTAACATTATTTTGTGTTTTGTATCCTCTAATATTATATATATATGTTTCATCAGTCATATTTATGAATGATTCCTCAATTGTTTTCACCCCAATTTATTTGCCTGGATTCGGTGGATGATTGGGCCCTTTGATGAGCTAAAGCGATTTGCTCCATTTATCACTATTGTTTTGGCAAACCTCCACATCCTTCTTGACTTTCTTCGTATTTTGGGTACTAAGTGCTTTTCTATCTTTTGTTTTTGATGTAGTAATAGCCATTTATAACAAGTTTGTGTTTCAAAAAATAGAAACCGCATCTTTCCGATATACGCTATATATATATATATATGCTGTTTGTGAAATTTCTGTCAAAGGTATCACCTGATCTATTTCCTTCCTTGTCAAAAAAAAAATGAAGAAAACAACATAATTCCATGTTTTTTTTACTGTAAGTATATTTTGTTGGAGAAAGATGAAGACAGGGCCTTACGGAAAGAGAGATAAAGAAGTTGGAGAAAATAGTAAACAACTACATTTTGTTCATCTTTTAAAACTAAATTCAACAATGTCATTATTCTTGTCTACTTTAAAAGAGATCTATTCGGTTACAAATTAATGCGGCTTATATCCCCTATCCTACAAAACGAGCCCTTCTACGCCATCGCCCACAGCCGCCCTCATATCAGAAGGAGACATGGCTAGCGTTCGGAGAACTATCTTCTTTTCTCTTTTCATAGTTCTTTTCCTTATATCTGGAATTCACAACGCTTCTTTTGATTTGGATGAAAAATTAACCAATAACGGTACGATTTATAAACAATACGTTGATACTTTTATAAATATTTATATGTTAATATGTGTATAAAGAGTAATTTTAACCAGAAACTATATAAAATATTAATTAAATTCTTCATTAGATAGTAGATATTTTACTTTTGCTTGATTGCCTTCATTTAATTTATTTGTTATTCAATCGTAAAAAAAAGTCAAAAAGCGATTCGAGTTCCTTAAAAGCTTTTGGAATCCAACGCATGGAATTATAAGAATTCCTAATGGTATGAATGATGGAAGAAATGGGTTTCTAAAGTGGAAATATCATTATATACCAAGATATGGCTAACGATGAACATGGAAAAACAAAGAAGAAGAAAAGTTTGCTATTATCTTCCGAATTCTTCATTTCTCTTCTTATTCTTCTACTTATTATGAACAATTCATTTTCTAGATTAAAGAATTTATTATTAAGATATTGATAATATTATTTAATTATAAAATTAAAAGAAAGCATTAACAAAATACCATAATACATAACATTCATACAATCTTGAAGACAAGAAAGTTTCATTTATCACTTAAATAGCACGGAAAGATAAATAAATTACCCTTTATATAAAAATAATTAATGATAATTTTTTACGGTTGAAATAGCTAAGTTTACTTTGATTAAATCTTAATTCTAGACAATTTATAGCGGATTAAAAAAAAAGGTCATACTTTATATACAGTATTATTTCTTTGTTGTTGTATTTATATACGTTAAACATCTATAGCATTATATATATATATATATACTTTATATATACACTATACAAGTATGTAAAAAAGATGTTTGTATATAGAATACTCATCAAACGGTAAAGGACTCTAAAAGAAATTAGTTAGAAACGGATAAGGAATTTTTGCCAATTTTTCTTTGTATTTTTTTCTAAGGTATATTGAAGATATTTTAATATCCTTATTCTTCTTTGGCTTCTTCTTCTTTCTCTTTGACAGAATTCAGTTCTTAAAGGACAATGCTCAGAGAGAGAGAGAGAGTAATCTTGAAGGAAACATTATAAAGGGATGAAAATATTAAAAAATATAATAGTTTAATGAATCTTTTCCAATTATCTCTTTAACATGTTCATCCTAATATCTATCCTATTCATATATGTATACAATACATAGTATAACTAAGTTTCGGTACTTTATCGGTATTGTAGGCTTAATTTTTCGTAAAATTAGTCATCTCCTAACGTAAAATATATTAGAAAGTTAGCTAAGAAATCATCACTTTCAGTTCACTTCTTTTTCCTTTCCTCTCGTCTATGTACTAAGAAATCTTTTGAATAGGGAATAAATCTTTGATGTCTAAAATGTCTACTCCTCTAACAACAAAGGCACAAAAGAAAATAGAATATTAGCAACAGGCTACTGATTAGAATAAATCTATTTATATTCATAATAAGTCAAATAATTCGTTTTGAATGTGTAATAAAAACTATAAAATATACTAATTAAATTTAATGGAAAAGAGCTCAATTTCCTTTAATAAACTTTGTATTTCATTCGTAATTACTAATATCTGTAGAAAGTCAATGAAAATGGCGGTGATTTTTAAATAATCCAATAGATAGCTTATTAAATATTTTACTAACTATATTGAAAACAATATACATTCACAGAATATATATATATATATATAGGTCATAGAGTACTTTAACAAACGCCCTCTACCGTTTATTCAAAGTGTTTTAATGTTTAATAAACTAAGTCATTCAATTAGCGCATATAATGGACGGGTGCAATATTTTCATGAAATATTTAATAACAAGGAATGAAAACATTAGCCTTGAATAACTAATATTTAAATGAAATAGTAATATATTTCGCTTTTTGTACTACTATGAAACAGAGAGATGAATAGAAAAAAAGAATAGGTTAATAGCTTTAAAAACATCAGAAAATGTAACATAACACATAAAGAGATCGAACATATAACAAATATCAATTCGAAGTATTAATTTTGAATGAGATTTTAGTTAGAGAATAAAAGAGAGAGGAGAAAAGCAGCAATAGAGATGGGACTTTGAAAACCAAGTTTTTTTTTTATTAATATTTCTTTTCATATTAATTTATTACTCATATTTTGTTGTAGTTTGATGTTTCGAATAGCGTTGAAACAACTTTATCTAAGTTTATTTGAAAGAATGAAACTATCTTTCAAGTATTGTTTGTTCATACCGAGAAGAATATAGGCTTGAATTTTAATTATCTTCATTGAACATCTGTATTTACGAAACATTCACTTAAATGGTTGTGAATTCTGCTACAATTTTTTAAAAGTTTATATACATTTATTAGTATAGATTGATTGATTTTAGTTATATTAGGCTTCCAGTTTAGTCCAAGTCGTAAAAATTTTTTAAATTAGGGATAATACTGCAACAGAGTATCAAAATACAGAGTACTAATTTTCACAAAGTACTTTGCTCCGTCTAATGAAGGAAAACCAATATTATAACTTTTATACCTAATAACAAATATCTATTTAAGTTACATTTGCATAAAAACTACTGCATTATATATATTTACAAATATATATATGCATATGTATATATATATATATGTAAGTGAAAGTTGAATGAGTAAAGCTTAGTAATCTTCTCACTTCATGGCTGAGGTTCTCTACAGAAAAAATCCCATGTTTAAGCCTAAAGTAACTTTAAAATATACCATATATTATAAATTTCAATATTTTACATCTTATTATTTTTTTTAGCAAGCCTGGAATGAGAAATCAAAGATATTTTCCTTTCCATTCCGACTGAACTCAAGGCTCCAGAAAGAGGATGATCATTATCAATATGAGACAAAATTTGGTCGATGTAAATCTGAAAGTAGTAAGTAAATTAATAAACAATTATAAATTGAAAATAGAAGTTTTTGATTTTCATTAAATTTTGCTTTCATCTTTTAACTTTCTACTTTCAAAAATCAAATGAAAGAGAAGACAAGTTGGGATAAAACTTACGAATTTACCCAGGAAACGGCTTTTCACGGTGTGAAATATATAACAAGTGGACATAATATTTTCCGAAAGTATGTCTGATATTCTTATATCTCTGTTCAGAAGTGTTAATTCTAATCTATTCATATGTTTGTCTTGTTTGTCAACAAAAGGATATTTTGGGCGCTGTTCACATTTACTGCAGTTGCATTTTTCCTATATGTTCTTGGTCATAGGATAAAAACGTATAGAGCTTTTCCGAAAAGTGTAAACGTTGAAGTCGTTTACACAAATCGCCTCAGATTTCCAACTTTAACAATCTGCAATCAAAATTTCTTTAGGTATAAACATAGCAAACAATTTAATAATACATAAAATAAACTTCTTCATCATTCATTCATTCTTTCTTTCAATCTTTCATAATGGAATTAAAGGACCACGAAGACTTTTGAAATGGGCTTATTCGATAGAATTGAAGATGTTTTTGGAGGTTCTGAGGATTCAGGCATTTTATTAAAAGATTTTAATGAAGAAAGTTGCGAAGATAAGTTAATAAAAACACCCAGAAAATACTTGAAAGGCTTCGAATCGTTATATAATAGTTTCAATGACGTCACTGAGAAAGTTTGTAAATCTTTGTGCCTTGATTTTGCGGATAAAACTTGCAATTCTGTAACCTATAATTTAAAAACCAAAGTCTGTTATATAACACGAATAACGAAAGACACGGCTGGCTCCGTTTTAATCGACAGTAATGTGACAAACTACTTTGAAAGAGAGAGATGCAATGGTAAGAACATTAGAATTTTGCTTTCATATTTTCAATAAAAAAGAAACGGTTGTTAAAGTATACTTTCGTTTTGAAAATAAGTCAGAAGGGGAGAAAGAGGTGTGCATAGAATGTTATATTCCATTACCAAAGGTTTACACAAGGTAGTATAAGAGATTCTGTGTTAATTTTTTATTATATATATATACAACTAATGATAAATAATAAATGAAAATATTCTGTGCATACATTTTTCAAACATTAAGTCTCGGGTTGATTAACAAAACTAAAAACTACTATAATATATTAATTACAGGGGAAAAGAGTGCAGTATCTTGTAATTTTGATGATGATCAGGAGTTTTGTAAATTTTATCAAGATACCGATGACGATTTTGACTGGGCAAGACATAAAGGGCAAACAGGAACTTTTAAAACGGGTCCAAGTGAAGATCATACAACGGGCAGAGGTTATTATATCTATGTTGAAGCAACTAATAGAAAAGCTGGTCATTCAGCAAAGTTAATTTCTCCATTTCTACAAGCTCGAAAGAAAATTTGTATGGAATTTTATTACAAGTAAGATAAAGCTTTAGAATTTCTACTAACTAAATAGTTCGTTCTGTATTTCATTTAATTTTGCTTATGATCTTTCAAAAGCCTAATTTGATATGGTGAATAATTCACATCATGAATTACCTTTAGTTTTAAAAACATGAAATATAGTAAAATATTAAATACGGTCAGTTAAGCCATTAAGACAAAATGCATTCAATAGTTTAGAACAGCTAACTTTTCCGCAAACACTTTATCCTTCTTTTCTTTATAAAATTTTTCGACTTTTAAGCGTCATCATCTGCTATTTATTCATATGTATTTCATTAATATTTTAGCATGTTTGGTGTTCAAGCTGGTCTATTAACGATTAAGCGGCGAGAAACCAATAAAGTGGAAAGTATTATTTGGTCTAGAACTGTTCCATCAGATACAACAGAATGGAGTAGAACTGTCGTTGAACTCCAACCTGGTCTTTTCCAAGTTGTTATTGAAGGCGTTATTGCGGATGGTCCTCTTGGTGATGTTGCTGTTGATGACATTAGAATTGGAGATTGCAAAACAATACGTAAGCATATTTTTTATGCAATTGAGAAGATCTTATTTCAACATATCTTTAAATATTTAACTATGACGTTTTTCAGTTCCTGAATGTAAATACAACAAGTACGGTTCGGAGTTTCAGGGTTCTACATTTACATCAAGTAACACGAATAAATCATGCATCAAATGGACAGAAATGTTATCGGTTATAAATAAAACTGTGGTAAAAGAACGTTTCGAATTTCCAGGAACAAGTCTGGAAGAGGTTTTTATTCATCGTTCTTTTCATAAAAACTTTCGATGTATATCTAAATCTTTCATTTTGAAGGCCGAAAACTATTGTCGAAATCCTAATCGAGATCCAAAAGGACCGTGGTGTTACGTTTCTACGGATGGTGAACGAGAGTATTGCGACATTCCCTTTTGCGGTACAAATTTATCATTAATCATTACTTTAACCAAATAGCATGATTCAAATTGAAACAATTCATCAACAGCTTGTAAGAAAGATGATTTCTTATGCACAAACAATAATTGTATACCGAAGTACAAATTATGTAACGGCAAAGATGATTGTGGAGATAATTCCGATGAGGAAAAGACTTGCTGTACGAATATTTATTGCAAATTTAAACGACAATTTAAAATTCTTCTAATGTTTTGTAGCATCAAGCGCTAATTGCGATTTCGAGAATACTTTTGTATCTGGATATCGAAATAGAAACACTTCAACCAAAACCATTGAATGGAAAAGATTTAGAGGTTCTACGAAATCCAGTGGAAGTGGTTACAGCAATTTAAGGTTTGATTACACTAAAAAATCCTCTCTGGGTCATTATATGTTGGTTGATTCGAGTGTGGCTGGACAACCAGTTGGCGAACTGGCACAGTTGCTTTCTCCAGTTATTAATGAAAATTCACAGCAAAATTGTTTAAGATTTTACTACTATATGTTCAATTTTCATGAAGATCCATCTAAAATGGGAAATCTAACAGTGAAGCTATACTTTAATGATTTAGACATTCGACCACTTTACCGTATTGTTGGCCGGCAACCAGATGGTTGGCAATCTGCTTGGGTTACAATTCCACAGACAAATTTATCATACTCTCTTCTCTTCGAAGTAAAGATTGGAGAACAATTTACGTCCGATATTGCTATTGATGATATTAAATTAGATTTCGGGGAATCGTGTGAAGAATTGTTAAATATTCCTATTAAACCAGTGCCGCTCGATCCTGCAGAGTTTTTATGCAAATACGGAGATAAAATTAACAAAACGAAATTCTGTGACGGAGTTGAGGATTGCCCAGACGGAAGTGATGAACTTCAAGACGAATGCATTCAGAGTGTGTAAACATAATTCTTGAATTATTTATATATATGTTTTGATATTTTATAAAGGAAATAATGTATCCTGCATTTTTGACCATGATTATATGTGTGGATATAAAATTGAAGGTTTAAACCGAACTATGTGGCAAAAGAGCGAATTAGTCATAGATGGCGGTAAGGTATCAGTTAGTGCCCATAGAGTTTAAAACATACAACCATTATCTGTTTTTAGTTAAGGAAAAGGTGATAGAGACTAGACATTTATTAAATTTTGGATTTGCGACTGAAGTAATTTCGCCAGTTTTTGAATTGAAGGAAAAAGGATGTTTGGAAATTAAAATTTATGTTAGATATTTGCGCAGTTTATTTTATAGATTTAGAGTTTACCAACAATATGAAAAATCGAGAAGACTATTATTAGAGTATGTTTGACAATAAGTTCAGCATTGAAACGTCTTATGCATACCTATATGTAACTATGTTAATATATATTTTTTATATATTAGTTTGAATCCAGGAAACATGTTAGTAAAGAAATGGGATAAAGTATTAGTACCAGTACATCTGGGTAAAAGTAAAGTAGTGATTGTAAGACATTCACTTAATCCGTATCCATGGAAAGAATTTGGCGACTTTCTTGCTATAAAGGAAATACAACTCCATAATGAAAAATGTACAAGTGTTCGTAAGTATCTTATTGTTGACAAATGTTCAATATTTTATCATTTGTTAAGATATGGTCATTTTATAGATAAAAGTTGGGGAGGTTTCTCCAAAACATGTAAATTTAATTCTCCTGATCTTTGTGGATTTTCTCAAACTTATGATGATAATCATATTCGCTTCGCCTCAACCAAATATTATTTTGCGAGCGAAGGAATGGCTTCTCTAGCCCTAACAACCGATGTAACTGACATATTGAAACCTTATCGATTGATTTCACCCGAATTTAACATCACAAAACCAAGTTGTTTTCAGTTCTGGTAAAAAAAAAAGTCAATTTTGTTTACTGTAAACTAAACCCCATTATAATTGAATCTTACAGGTTCCAATATAGTACTATTCATTTAGATAAAAGCCAAGCCGCCAGGCAGTTTGCGGTTTATTGGGAGAGCAATGGAACAGAGGAAAAAATATGGAATATTAGTAAAAACGTACAATTATACGGTACCAAATGGACAAAGGCAGAGTTGAAGGAAGGCTATGGTAGATTAATTTTTGAAGTTTTCGGAAAATTTCATTATAACTCAATAAATATTGTTAACTATACAATTACGGAAGGACACTGTCCACTGCCTGAAGGTACCTATATAATTACGTTAAAAATATCCTTTATCAATTTATTCATTAATTATATAGACGTTTGCAAATCGACAAAGTACTGCTCGTCTGTTCCATATTGTATACAAAGCTATTTTTACTGTGATGGCATTCTAGACTGTCCAATGGAAGAAGATGAAAACAACTGTACTATTTGTGGGCATAGAAACACCAAATGGTGTCCAAAAAAAAAAGATGAGTTTTCAGGCTCAGGCTCATCGGGTGATAATGATCTCAACTCTGGGTCAGGTTCAGGTTCAAACTCAGGTGGAAATGAAATACAGTCGGAATCAGGTTCAGGACTAGGATTAGGATTAGTATCAGGAGCAGGATCAGGATCAGGATCAGGATCAGATTCAGGCTCAGGATCAGAACAGCGACTACAATTAAGATCAAAATCAGGATCAGAATCAGATTCTGAGCAGGATTCAAGCTCAAATGAAAATGACTGGAAAAATCAAGACACATTTGACAATAATAATAAACTATCATTACCACAACTACCTGGTTTGTTCTTTACTGGAACTACAGGCTTAAATGATAATCTTCAGGTAAATATATAAATTTTAAAAGTATCCATATAATCTAAGTAAATTATATTTAATGAAGTCCCAAAAACTCCTCTATTCTAATACATCCGATATTGAAATTGAAAGTTTAAAAATATGGGAAAAAATGAAAAATCAGACTATAGGAACAGTAGAATCAATAAGTATATTGCAATATTTTCAGTTCATTTACAAACACACTTCCACTTAATTGTATCATTTGCATATTTAGCTGTAAACAATTTGAGAAGGTTTCATACAGATGCAGCACATGAAAAACAAAATCTCATACATAAGTAAATCTATTTTCATTCTCTTAAATATCACTTATCAATAATTTCATCTACCATTTAAGATGTTCATGGGAAGGGGTTCCCTGCTCTCATTTAAATTTTTCCTCTATTCTCACCGATTACGGTTATTGCCATACTTTCAACTGGAATGAAGACAACATACTAACAACAACAAAAACTGGTGAATTATCCAATACTTACACAAGCATTCTCCTTATCAAAAATAAATATTCATTAATTATTCAATATTTTTCATAGGTTCAAGTTCAGGATTGACTTTGATCTTAAATGTAGAAGAATATGAATATATGAAAGGTCCGCAAAACGATGCTGGAGTTAAAATGTTTCTTCACAACGCAAATGAAGTTCCTTTCGTAAGAGATTTAGGTTTTGCAGCTGCTCCCGGTCTCCATTCACTCGTCTCTGTTCAGTATAGCGAGGTATTATCAAATATATGAAATCATATTTGTCTTGATTGAATACAAAACTCTATTCGCTACAAATGTTTATAGAATGTTGGTTTACCGGATCCATGGGGCGTTTGTGGAACGAAACCATTAAAATATTTCCCAAAATATACTTATTCAGCTTGTGAGAGAGAATGTGAAACAGATGCAGTTGTGAAGCAATGCGGTTGCAGGAACTCTTTTATGCCACCGGAAGCTGATAGAAATCAAACGGTATATTGTACAACAGACCAATATTTCAATTGCTTAGTTCATACAAGAGGTACTTTGGGATCGAATAAGAAAAACTGCAAATGCGTGGAGCCTTGTACAATAACGGGATATCAGTCTTCATTGTCTTATTCAGCAATATCATCTCTAAGTGTTGAAAAATTGTTGAGTATCAATACACAAACTCTGAAGAATAATTTTTATAAAGTAGAACATCTGAAACAAAGAATTGCTGGTTCAAATTTTGTAAATGACTTGAAAATTTTAGAAAATGTTTTACATAGTTTTAATGCTCTGTACAAATATGCAAAAGTAAATACCTTATCGTATGAGAAGTCAATCTTCTATAAACTGAGAAGATGTATGGATAGGATGCTCTCAATCTATCGATCTGATATGGAACTGATATATCCTATTCTTAATCAATATTACGATGCTTATGAAGAAGCTTATGGTACAAGTAGATTAGCCATGAAATCATCGTTTGAATCTATCCAAATTAAATCAGCTGCTGTTTTACAAAAAGCTCTAAACAGTTCAAAATACACTGATGTTAAGAATGATGAAATGATATCTTTAGTTGCCGAATATAATACCACAATTGATCTAATTGACCGCTTTCAGATTTATGTTGAAGAAAGAAAGTCTCCCTTTATTTTAAACGTAACGACAACTGATAAATTACCTCCAAAACAATATATCACTGAAAGTAGAGCTGAACAGTGCGATGAATACAAAAAGAAAAATATTTTTCTAATAAATAGCATAATTCGTACCTTATCCCTTCTAGACGCAAAACAATTGAAATGGGAATTTAAAAGGGACTACTCCAGCCTTTCCAAAAACGGTAAAGAGTATATGGGCTGTTTAGAAGAATATTATTCAATTGTTAAACACTTTGGAGAATGGCAAGAAGAAAAAGAAAAAAGTATTAAAGCTTTACTGAGAGATGAAGGATTATTCCCGGAAATTCAAAATTTTGACTTTGAAGCAGAATGGGAAGAAATTGATTACGTGAAAGAAAAAGTACTTGATTTCATGGAAGAATATATGAAACATTCAACGAATAAACTCGATAACAAACACAATCTAGATTCTTCGATAATAAATCAAGCAATCAGCAATATTAATTCATTTATTCGTAAAATTCAAACTCGTCTTGTTGATACAATGAGAAACAAAGTTTCTGTGACTTCCCGTTCTATAAAAAGTGGCTATTCGGATGCTATCGAAAGAATCGAACGAATTTTTCCATATCAGAGTGAAAAGGGACGTGAAATTTTATCATCAATTTCGCAAAATCTGTCGATATGGTGGAGACCGCGAGCAAACGTAGAAGAGCCATCGACGCCGTATCGAGGAGATCTCTATTTAAGTGTACATTACACTTTTGCATAGATAAGACAAGAATGAACATTCATTTTTTGCAGATTCCAAGCAACTTGACGACGTTTCGCGAGAAATTGCTTGAAATTAATTTACAGGAAATCCTAGATGAATACTTTGCTCCTGTAAGAAGTTCTTTGGCTCATTTTGAAAACTTTATGTCTGATTTGGAAGCGAATTTAATTAAGCCATTACAACAATTATCAACTAGTATTAATGATTATATCATAAAAACGAAGATAAATGAAAAGTTTGTTCTGTAAGTTGTTTAATGAATTGTATTCTCTTTTCTTTTTTATAGACGATTTTTCGATTTTACTGTCATATTAATAGAACTAATTAAGAACTTTGTATGATTAAATTAGGGACAACTTTATTACTGTCGACGTCTTTTTTGCACAACTGAAATATCAAAAGATTGAACAACAAGTTGCGTATGATATAAGTAACTTCTTTAGTAAGTAGTTTTTATTAGGCTTTTATTATTTGCATAACATTTAATTTAACCTTTTATCAATGAATTATAGGCGAAGTGGGTGGTTTTCTTGGTCTTTTTCTTGGTGGGAGCGTTTTGAGTCTATTGGAATTATTTGATTTTATGCTTAACCTTCTAACCAGAAGATTGCATTTGAAATCGTCGAAAGTTTCAGATTCTACTATCACGCTAAAATAACTATTGTCTATATATATATATTGTCTACATATACTTATTAATGTATTGTATGTATTAGTCATTGTCAATAATAAATACAGGTTATTGAACTATTAACACGAAGACACCCAGATGCAAAGCAACATATTTGATATTGAGTGTGAATTTAAAGTATTGGAGCTTCCTATCAATTAGACTTGTAAATAATAGGGAAACGAACTAGTATTGTTAATTTTTGAAATAATGGACCTATTAATACTTTTAGAATTAAGTATAGTTATGCTACTGTACCGTATTTTAAATTATTCAAAAGATTATAATTCGATCCACTAAAAGGTTTCTATAAACAATATAACAACAGAAAAAGAAAAATTGTTATTATAAGTTTTGTCACGTTGTTCATGGTTTTCGTTGACCTTCCATAGCTATATAAAAAGATCATCCCTTCTTAATAAAAAAATGACGTAGTACTATTGATAAATATAAAAGAGTTAAATAGAAAAAGAAAAGAATAGTGTAACAGGTAACAGCTCAAAAATTTATAATATCTATCAAACATTTATGAATAAAACTTTACTAATACTCTTTAAAAATTATATTTTGTCATATGACTTTAATGAAATGGAACAACTTTATTCAATATAGAATGTTTTGTTTGTCAGTTTATTCTTAGCTCTCTGGAGACAAACTTTTCTTTTATATCGAAGTTCACGGTAGGTAATTACGTTTTCGATGATTCACATATGGTGCATAGTTAGTGTTCAAGGGTTGATCATTCAGATCATATCTATAGTAGACGCTTCATGTTTCTACGATACTGATTGCTGTTTACTAAACAGGTATTTAACCAATATTTTTCTCAATAAGTTTTTATAGAGTTAATAGATGCATAATTTTTATTATTAACATATTCTGTTAGTTACAATTACAAATATATTTTATTTTACAAACGTTTACAGAGCAGAGAAGGGTTAGAGAGAACGTACATTCAGGAAAAGACACTTTATCAAAGAAAGAATAATCAACTTACTAATATTATGTATTAATTTCACTAAAAGCGAGATTCTAAGAAAATATACATACATATATACTGAATATATATATATATATATATATATATATATATATATATATACAGATCTATAAATATAGGACACAGCATATATACCGAGTATTAATACTAAGAGAAGTTGAACAAGATAGATTTTCACATTTCTCATTTTGATGGCCGATAGCAGTTTCAACAACGATTCCTTCTTTAAGCCAAAAGTAACATGGATTAACTTGTTTTATATTACATATTGAAACTTTTTAATAAATAGTTTTATATTCGATTCTTATTCTTTCTTTCTTTATTTTCTACATTAATTCTACGTTTTGACTCTTTCTTTTAGAAGGCTTGAAAGGAAAAGACAAATATATTTTCTGCCCTTTTTCGACAGAGTACAATGGAACGTAAGAGGAGGCATACACAATGCTATGAAAGTAATAATACAGATTTTGATGGATGTAAATCTGAAAGTAGTAAGTAAATTAATAAACAATTATAAATTGAAAATAGAAGTTTTTGATTTTCATTAAATTTTGCTTTCATCTTTTAACTTTCTACTTTCAAAAATCAAATGAAAGAGAAGACAAGTTGGGATAAAACTTACGAATTTACCCAGGAAACGGCTTTTCACGGTGTGAAATATATAACAAGTGGACATAATATTTTCCGAAAGTATGTCTGATATTCTTATATCTCTGTTCAGAAGTGTTAATTCTAATCTATTCATATGTTTGTCTTGTTTGTCAACAAAAGGATATTTTGGGCGCTGTTCACATTTACTGCAGTTGCATTTTTCCTATATGTTCTTGGTCATAGGATAAAAACGTATAGAGCTTTTCCGAAAAGTGTAAACGTTGAAGTCGTTTACACAAATCGCCTCAGATTTCCAACTTTAACAATCTGCAATCAAAATTTCTTTAGGTATAAACATAGCAAACAATTTAATAATACATAAAATAAACTTCTTCATCATTCATTCATTCTTTCTTTCAATCTTTCATAATGGAATTAAAGGACCACGAAGACTTTTGAAATGGGCTTATACGATAGGGTTGAGGATGTTTTTGGAGGTGTTGATAATACTGAATCTTCGAATGAAGAAGAAGGTAAGTAATAAAAATGATATATTCACTTAAATAAAACATTTTACATATTTCTTATATTCAAAAAGAATGTCGGGATAATCTAATAAGACGGCCCCAAAAGTATCTAAAAGGCTTTGAATCCTTGTATTTCTCTTTCAATGACGTCACTGAAAAAGTTTGCAAATCCTTGTGCTTGATATTTGCTGACAAGACTTGTAATGCGGTCACTTACAACTTAAAAACCAAGTCCTGTTACATAACGCCAATAACGAAAGATACAACTGGAGCACAATTAATTCATAGCAACGTGACAAATTATTATGAAAGAGAGAGATGTAATGGTAAGACACATATTTCTATTTATCTCTTAGTCGACCTGTTTCTAAAAAATTAACTCATTGTTTGAGGAATAATTGTTTTAAAATAGACGCATGCAGAGACTATTAGACTCTTAGAAGGAATCGTATAAATAAGTCAGAATATCTGAATGAATAATTAGTAGTCTACTGTTTCATTAGAAAACTTCTTAACAGTGATACTATCAGCTATTCTATAATTTCTTAATTTCACCAACTTTAGGAGACAAACAACTAGTACAATGTGATTTTGATGAAGAGAGCAACAGCTTCTGTGAATTTTATCAAGATGACAAAGATAATTTTGATTGGGCTAGACAAAAAGGAGAAACTGGTACATTTCACACTGGTCCTACTAAAGATCATACAACGGGCAGAGGTTATTATATCTATGTTGAAGCAACTAATAGAAAAGCTGGTCAATCGGCAAAGTTAATTTCTCCATTTCTACAAGCTCGAAAGAAAATTTGTATGGAATTTTATTACAAGTAAGATTCAGTTATAACTTTTCTAAAAGAATATTACGAAATTGAAACTTTGTGTAGTATATATATTGTTACCATAAGTACATTCATATATAAATGAATAACTGATGACGATAAATATATTTATAGTCATTTCAAAAACACATTTTAACTAAATCTCTCTGAAATGAATATATAATATAAAATATTAAACATATTCCCTTATTGGTAATAAATATTGTTTAAAACCTTTTTCTCTATCTTAAATATTAATAAAAACTTTTGCAGTTTATTTTAATTTTCCTTTGCATGCTTCTGCTATTTATTCATATGTATTTCATTAATATTTTAGCATGTTTGGTGTTCAAGCTGGTCTATTAACGATTAAGCGGCGAGAAACCAATGAAATGGAAAGTATTATTTGGTCTAGAACTGTTCCATCAGATACAACAGAATGGAGTAGAACTGTCGTTGAACTCCAACCTGGTCTTTTCCAAGTTGTTATTGAAGGCGTTATTGCGGATGGTCCTCTTGGTGATGTTGCTGTTGATGACATTAGAATTGGAGATTGCAAAACAATACGTAAGCATATTTTTTATGCAATTGAGAAGATCTTATTTCAACATATCTTTAAATATTTAACTATGACGTTTTTCAGTTCCTGAATGTAAATACAACAAGTATGGTTCGGAGTTTCAGGGTTCTACATTTACGTCAAGTAACACGAATAAATCATGCACCAAATGGACAGAAATGTTATCGGTTATAAATAAAACTGTGGTAAAAGAACGTTTCGAATTTCCAGGAACAAGTCTGGAAGAGGTTTTTATTCATCGTTCTTTTCATAAAAACTTTCGATGTATATCTAAATCTTTCATTTTGAAGGCCGAAAACTATTGTCGAAATCCTAATCGAGATCCAAAAGGACCGTGGTGTTACGTTTCTACGGATGGTGAACGAGAGTATTGCGACATTCCCTTTTGCGGTACAAATTTATCATTAATCATTACTTTAACCAAATAGCATGATTCAAATTGAAACAATTCATCAACAGCTTGTAAGAAAGATGATTTCTTATGCACAAACAATAATTGTATACCGAAGTACAAATTATGTAACGGCAAAGATGATTGTGGAGATAATTCCGATGAGGAAAAGACTTGCTGTACGAATATTTATTGCAAATTTAAACGACAATTTAAAATTCTTCTAATGTTTTGTAGCATCAAGCGCTAATTGCGATTTCGAGAATACTTTTGTATCTGGATATCGAAATAGAAACACTTCAACCAAAACCATTGAATGGAAAAGATTTAGAGGTTCTACGAAATCCAGTGGAAGTGGTTACAGCAATTTAAGGTTTGATTACACTAAAAAATCCTCTCTGGGTCATTATATGTTGGTTGATTCGAGTGTGGCTGGACAACCAGTTGGCGAACTGGCACAGTTGCTTTCTCCAGTTATTAATGAAAATTCACAGCAAAATTGTTTAAGATTTTACTACTATATGTTCAATTTTCATGAAGATCCATCTAAAATGGGAAATCTAACAGTGAAGCTATACTTTAATGATTTAGACATTCGACCACTTTACCGTATTGTTGGCCGGCAACCAGATGGTTGGCAATCTGCTTGGGTTACAATTCCACAGACAAATTTATCATACTCTCTTCTCTTCGAAGTAAAGATTGGAGAACAATTTACGTCCGATATTGCTATTGATGATATTAAATTAGATTTCGGGGAATCGTGTGAAGAATTGTTAGATATTCCTATTAAACCAGTGCCGCTCGATCCTACAGAGTTTTTATGCAAATACGGAGATAAAATTAACAAAACGAAATTCTGTGACGGAGTTGAGGATTGCCCAGACGGAAGTGATGAACTTCAAGACGAATGCATTCAAAGTGTGTAAACATAATTCTTGAATTATTTATATATATGTTTTGATATTTTAAAAAGGAAATAATGTATCCTGCATTTTTGACCATGATTATATGTGTGGATATAAAATTGAAGGTTTGAAATATTCTAAATGGCATAAAACTTCCGTAATCGTTGACAAGAGTGAGTTTAAAAGTACTGAGTTTCATTTACACTTTTCTAAAAGTATTTTAATCCTCTCTCAGCTAAATATACTGCATTAAAAGGGGATAAGTTACTAAACGCTGGTTTCAACTCTGAAATTATTTCTCCAGTAGTTAATTTTTTCGAAAAAGGATGCATTGAAGTTGTACTGTATGTATTAAATTATTATGACGTTGGCAATCGATTTCAAGTTATTCAAAAATTTGAAACTTCTGAAAAGTTACTTTATGAGTAGGATATTCTTAAAACTAATTATTTAATAATGTTTATTAAGTTATTCTGAAATATAGCGCCAAACCAGTGCTTTTATTATCGCAAACTTGGCGAAATTTATTAGTTCAAGTTTATCCTGGTAAGAGTCAGATCATTGTCAGAAGATTGTCAAAACTTAGTAATAGGTGGGGATGGCAATACAATTATTTGGCTATAAAGGAAATAAAATATCATAACAATTTGTGCAATGTTGTCAGTAAGTATCATATCTTTCGAATTTATTTTGTCGATTGACAGAAACAAACTTCAAAACAATTATTTATTAGAAAAAAGTTGGGGAGGTTTTTCTAAGTCATGTGAATTTGATTCTTCCGCTCTTTGTGGATTTGATCAAGATTATACTACTATTCACAGTCGTTTTTCCTATTTAAAACCTACCTTTGTAACTGAATCAAAAGCCACTCTTCTTCTTCAGTCCGATATATACCGACTAAAGGATCCTTTTCGATTGACATCACCAGAGTTTAATGTGACAACAGCGAGCTGTTTACAATTCTGGTAAACTTAAATATGATGATATACAAATTGGAAATGAGGAAAATTTAATTTTTATAGGTTTAATTTTAATTCAATCAACACTTATAAGTATGAGTCTGCAACATATCTTAATGTCTATTGGAAAGCTAATGGAACAGAGCAAAGACTTTGGCAAATTACTGGTAAAATAGCCACACAGAGTTCTCAATGGACTGAAACAGAAATACCAATTGGTTTTGGCAGTATAATTTTTGAAGCACATGGTGTTTTTAACTCATATGCTCTATCTATAAATCGATATAATATATCAGAAGGAAACTGTCCCAATCCCGAAGGTTAATCACATTTCTTTATAAAGAATAGTAACTAAAATATAATTCTTTTACAGATGTCTGTAAAACAAAAACGTATTGCGTATCTGTACCGTACTGTGTACCCAATTATTTAGTTTGTGATGGTAAACAAGATTGCCCGGGTGGAGAAGAAGAAAAAAATTGTACACTTTGTTCTACAAACAATGATAAAAATTGCATTGAGAATAGTGGAGACAAAAAAGACGAAGACAACAATGAGGATGACAAAAATTCCGGTTCAGGAGAATCTGGTTTTGAAGAGTCAGGTTCAGGAGATGAAGAGTCAGGAGATGAAGACTGGAAAAACAAACAAAACGAAGACACTGCCGAAGAAAAGATTCTTGGAAAAAAAGTACATTATGGATTGTTCTTTACTGGAACTACAGGCTTAAATGATAGTATTCAGGTTAATAATTATTTTTTTAAATTATCCTTATATTCTAAAAAAATTCTTTTAATCAAGTTCGCACTGAATATCCCTTATAATACATCCGATATTGAAATTGAAAGTTTAAAAATATGGGAAAAAATGAAAAATCAGACTATAGGAACAGTAGAATCAATAAGTATATTGCAATATTTTCAGTTCATTTACAAACACACTTCCACTTAATTGTATCATTTGTCTATTTAGCTGTAAACAATTTGAGAAGGTTTCATACAGATGCAGCACATGAAAAACAAAATCTCATACATAAGTAAATCTATTTTCATTCTCTTAAACATCACTTATCAATAATTTCATCTACCATTTAAGATGTTCATGGGAAGGGGTTCCCTGCTCTCATTTAAATTTTTCCTCTATTCTCACCGATTACGGTTATTGCCATACTTTCAACTGGAATGAAGACAACATACTAACAACAACAAAAACTGGTGAATTATCCAATACTTACAAAAACATTCACCTTATCAAAAATAAATATTCATTAATTATTCAATATTTTTCATAGGTTCAAGTTCAGGATTGACTTTGATCTTAAATGTAGAAGAATATGAATATATGAAAGGTCCGCAAAACGATGCTGGAGTTAAAATGTTTCTTCACAACGCAAATGAAGTTCCTTTCGTAAGAGATTTAGGTTTTGCAGCTGCTCCCGGTCTCCATTCACTCGTCTCTGTTCAGTATAGCGAGGTATTATCAAATATATGAAATCATATTTGTCTTGATTGAATACAAAACTCTATTCGCTACAAATGTTTATAGAATGTTGGTTTACCGGATCCATGGGGCGTTTGTGGAACGAAACCATTAAAATATTTCCCAAAATATACTTATTCAGCTTGTGAGAGAGAATGTGAAACAGATGCAGTTGTGAAGCAATGCGGTTGCAGGAACTCTTTTATGCCACCGGAAGCTGATAGAAATCAAACGGTATATTGTACAACAGACCAATATTTCAATTGCTTAGTTCATATGAGAGGTACTTTGGGATCGAATAAGAAAAGTTGCAAATGCGTGGAGCCTTGTACAATAACGGGATATCAGTCTTCATTGTCTTATTCAGCAATATCATCTCTAAGTGTTGAAAAATTGTTGAGTATCAATACACAAACTCTGAAGAATAATTTTTATAAAGTAGAACATCTGAAACAAAGAATTGCTGGTTCAAATTTTGTAAATGACTTGAAAATTTTAGAAAATGTTTTACATAGTTTTAATGCTCTGTACAAATATGCAAAAGTAAATACCTTATCGTATGAGAAGTCAATCTTCTATAAACTGAGAAGATGTATGGATAGGATGCTCTCAATCTATCAATCTGATATGGAACTGATATATCCTATTCTTAATCAATATTACGATGCTTATGAAGAAGCTTATGGTACAAGTAGATTAGCCATGAAATCATCGTTTGAATCTATCCAAATTAAATCAGCTGCTGTTTTACAAAAAGCTCTAGACAGTACAGAAAGCACTGATGTTAAGAATGATGAAATGATCTCTTTAGTTGCCGAATATAATGCCACAATTGATCTAATTGACCGCTTTCAGAATTATGTTGAAGAAAGAAAGTCTCCCTTTATTTTAAACGTAACGACAACTGATAAATTACCTCCAAAACAATATATCACTGAAAGTAGAGCTGAACAGTGCGATGAATACAAAAAGAAAAATATTTTACTATTAAATAGCATAATTCGTACCTTATCCCTTCTAGATACAAAACAATTGAAATGGGAATTTAAAAGAGACTACTCCACCCTTTCCAAAAACGGTAGAAAGTATATGGGCTGTTTAGAAGAATATTATTCAATTGTTAAACACTTTGGAGAATGGCAAGAAGAAAAAGAAAAAAGTATTAAAGCTTTACTGAGAGATGAAGGATTATTCCCGGAAATTCAAAATTTTGACTTTGAAGCAGAATGGGAAGAAATTGATTACGTGAAAGAAAAAGTACTTGATTTCATGGAAGAATATATGAAACATTCAACGAATAAACTCGATAACAAACACAATCTAGATTCTTCGATAATAAATCAAGCAATCAGCAATATTAATTCATTTATTCGTAAAATTCAAACTCGTCTTGTTGATACAATGAGAAACAAAGTTTCTGTGACTTCCCGTTCTATAAAAACTGGCTATTCGGATGCTATCGAAAGAATCGAACGAATTTTTCCATATCAGAGTGGAAAGGGACGTGAAATTTTATCATCAATTTCGCAAAATCTGTCGATATGGTGGAGACCGCGAGCAAACGTAGAAGAGCCATCAACGCCGTATCGAGGAGATCTCTATTTAAGAGTAAATTACACTTTTGCATAGATAAGACAAGAATGAACATTCATTTTTTGCAGATTCCAAGCAACTTGACGACGTTTCGCGAGAAATTGCTTGAAATTAATTTACAGGAAATCCTAGATGAATACTTTGCTCCTGTAAGAAGTTCTTTGGCTCATTTTGAAAACTTTATGTCTGATTTGGAAGCGAATTTAATTAAGCCATTACAACAATTATCAACTAGTATTAATGATTATATCATAAAAACGAAGATAAATGAAAAGTTTGTTCTGTAAGTTGTTTAATGAATTGTATTCTCTTTTCTTTTTTATAGACGATTTTTCGATTTTACTGTCATATTAATAGAACTAATTAAGAACTTTGTATGATTAAATTAGGGACAACTTTATTACTGTCGACGTCTTTTTTGCACAACTGAAATATCAAAAGATTGAACAACAAGTTGCGTATGATATAAGTAACTTCTTTAGTAAGTAGTTTTTATTAGGCTTTTATTATTTGCATAACATTTAATTTAACCTTTTATCAATGAATTATAGGCGAAGTGGGTGGTTTTCTTGGTCTTTTTCTTGGTGGAAGCGTTTTGAGTCTATTGGAATTATTTGATTTTATGCTTAACCTTTTAACTAGAAAATTTGATATGAAATCATCTAAAGTGTCAGATTCTGTTATTTCTTTGAAATAGAAAGTGAGTAATATTTTGAAGATTGTGAATGGGAAGGAAAAAGTTTGGTTTTTTCAGCTGCCTCTGACGTAATTGTTGTGAAGTTATTGACTTTTAAAGTTTGCACTACTGCGTCAATATTCATCTTCTCTTTTTAAATTAGTTTAATTAAGTGGGAGCGAAATGCAATATACAGAGAAATAACGAGAAAGAAAGTGTATTCGTTTGTTTAAAGCTTTTTTTTATGAATACAACACGTTTGAATATCTCTATTTTTAGTTTTGTGTATAGTTTTAATTAGTTTTAAATAAAGTAGGCTGTTAATGCAAGACTATGCAAAATCTAATTAGTTTGATTGACTCTTTCTATCTTTGAGTGAAATTGTTTTAAATCCTTTACTTTAGAGATCTCTTAGGAGCAATCCACTAGATGGAGTATTACTGAGCTTACTCGTATTTCCTATTTTCATTTGATAATGGAAGGAAGAATAGTTTTATCTTTCAAACGAAGTCGTTAAGTTATTTCTATTTATATAAATATACTATGTTGCTTACTATCAAATATATTTACTAATATATATATATATATATCTATATATAATATATACATGTATATACATATATACTATGTATGTATGCTTATATAGAGATGATATTTATTCTTCTAATTGACCTTTTACTTACTCTTCTCTTCTTTTTCTTACTATTTTTCCTCTTTGTTAGGGATAAATCATCCGTATAAAACGCCATCTGTATTGAAAATATACTATATTTTATTATACTATGATTCAATACTTTCATAAAATAGTTCATTTGAAACTGTTTTTACCCCAACTAATCCTTATTATTTCTAAAAGAAAGGGAGAGAAAAAAAGAATGAATTATTAATATAAATTTGATTTTTTATTCAATCGTTAACGGTTTTCTCGAGTAATAAAAAAACATTTCTCGGATAATTTTCTGCAAATAAAGACCCTACTTTTTTTCCCTTTCCCTTTTAAAGACTGTTATCCTTTTTAAAAGGAGAGAGACGAGCACAGTTTAATTTTTGACAAAGTTGACAATCATAGCCCTAATTCCAATGAACTTTGGATGACTAATCCTCAATGGGAACTCTTTATCGTACTCTCCTGAACGAATTTTAAGGAGTAATGGTCAATGATACCGACTTGATTAAATCTCTCTAGTGACCGTACGCTTTTTTTTTGACAAACCTTTCTTTGACAACTTTATTGTAAAAGGAAAACAAAGACAAATCAATATTTGCCAAGTTTACTAGGAATATCTAAATTTAAAAAATCTTTTGTTGCCAATAGGCTTATATTTAAGTTATTATTATCATTATTTTAATAATTTTAAGTTATTCCTTAGTGCATATTTCACTTCCTGGGGGTTTTTTCCCTGCATTTAATCAAGACACTTTATCTAGTTTTTCCCCTCATATCTATTGTTTTATCGATAGGGTTTACCTTCGTACAGATTAGCTAATCAATGTATTTGTTGTAGTGCCAATATATGTGTTTACACTAAAGCTTTAAGGGCTTAGAAGATCATGAAAAAAAAATTGAAAAAAGCTTTTCCACTAATATTTTAGGTATTAAAAGAAAGGTTTTATAAATTAATATTAAATTGAATATAGTGAATAAAGGAAAATAAGCATATTTTTAATTATCTTTTTACTACGAATGATAAATCTATTTATACTTAGTTAATTTATTTAGAAAACAATATGGCAGGTGATTTAAAACAGCACTTTTCATCAATTTGATTTTATCTCTCCAGTATACATACCCATGTTATTAGTTAGCGGCTATATTTACCTAAACAAAATCGCTTTAGTTTATATGCAAAGAACTACAAGAAAGAAAGATATCTAAGGTAATTTTTTAATTCTTTTTTTTACCTTTCTCACTCCCCCTCCCATTCCCGCCCCCTTCTAAACATTTATCAATCTATTTACTATCTGTTTTCTCTCTTATTTTTTCACTTTTCAACGCGTTTATCTTGTTATCATATTAAATCAATATATTTGATCAATATAAGTATCGATATACCTTATAAAATTTTTATATTACTCGTAAAAACACCCGTGCAAACGTTGTACATTTGTTATTCATTCTCCTATAACTTTTGCCTGGAAGGTTTCATAATCAAGATTACAATTTTTTTTTGCTAGCTGCATAAATAGTACTCTGAGATGCTGGTTGGAAAAAAAAAAGAAGAGAGTAGGCCTATATGTTTTAAACACCATTCCTCTTTAGCCAAGTAATCCAATATCTTTATGTACTAGGGGTAGAGTATATTTTTTAGGGAATGTTTGATTAATTTAATCCTCTTTAATTGTTGAACGGTGTTGGAGTACCTTGATCTATATACAGTTTATTTCTTAATATACCATTATTTCTGCCTTTGTTAACGTCAAAAACGTTTTAAAGTAAATCGAAGACAAGCTTTTCTTTTTTGTCGAAGGTTTACGGACACTGCGTTTATACGACCTTGCTGAAATTTGAAACGTTTTCGATTGATTAGGTTCTAGGCGGGATTTCCACAGATGTATAAAGTATGAGATTTTGTCGATATTTATTACAACGAAAATGACTTGGTTAACCCGATTAGCTGTACTATAAATACCGAAGATTATTTTAAGATACTTTTTCAGTTATATTAACCGAATGGGTGTGAGTATAAGAGAGAAATTGTTTATCTAAATAATAAAGGAATTTTACGAGCGATAATTTAAGCATGCAACTGCTGGCTAATCTTTTGCTGGACTATTGACTAACAATAAAAGTCAGTGAGGTATTCTTACGAACAATTTAATTGCTCTATTAATTCCGGTTTCTAAAACATATTGTATTCTATAAAAGCAATCTAATAACATCAATATAGTTAATAGGAGAGAGAAAATAATTTTAGATAGAATTTCATCAATTGACCTTGATAAAATATTTAAATGACAAAATATTATTTAAGAAAGAAAAGTGAACATTTCATAAAGAATAATCTAAATAAGAAAACTCCACTATTTATTAATCATAAATGTAATATTTATTTAGTAAAAACTATGCAAGCAAATACTTTATATAGAGTTAATAGGAAGTTAAGGAAAGAGAAAGGAATTGCTTTACTCAACCATTTCTATAAAAGCAGAAAAGAAGTATCAATTAGGTATTCTCTTCGTTATATATCTAGCGTAAATTGATACTAAGAATTTATGATTAAATCCACTAACGTGTATGGCTTCTAACGTCGAGAGATAGTAAAAAAATCTGTAATGAAACAAGTTATAGTTGGAAATTAAATACATTTTTAGATGAAATAATATCTGTTGTAGGGAAAGAAATTAGGTTAGGAAATATATATATATATATATATATATAGCATGAGGAAAGCGAGAGAAAAAGCGAGTGCCAACTGTACAGTATATATATATATATAGATAAATGTTCAAAATTCTCATCTGGAATATTTATTGAATTTCTTTCTGCTCTGTCTTTCACCTCTTCTGTTTCTCTCTTAATCTCTCTCAAAATTTTTAAGCGAATCTTCTCAACAGTTGTTTTTTTCTGACAAATAAACATCTAAAAATAATGCAATCAACGCGATTGACTTCAACAAGATAAAAAATACGATCGTCTGCCTAAAATGAAGAAACAATATAATAAAAAAAGACCTCTAATAAATAACTAGTTTTCTTTACTGTCCTCATTTGAGGTAAAATAGTCGAATACATATGAAACGTAATAAGATTATTGTACAGATATATTTCACACTTACTTAATTATTTTCACACTTCTTTAAGCTTCTTTTCAGTTAAAATCTGTCCCTTGTCTCACTCACTCCCTTCTATATTATAACCCCTCCTTTCTTACATATTAACTGTTAACTAACCTTTACCTCTGATAAAAAGATATGATTATTGATAAAATTGAAATAAAATTTCAGACTTGTATAAATATGATATATACCTTTTTTACATTCAGCTCTATTGTTTTAAATTAATATCAACAATACAAAGAAGTCGTTACAATTATTGAAAATCCCATTAATAACGTTGAATAAGGCTATGGTAGTAATACACTAATGCCATTGATATATTCAAATCTAAAATTGGGCACCCAATTAATCTATTATCAATATTCATGAAGAGTAACAAACCTAGTGAAAAGCTGTTTCCTGTCTACGATCGATATTTATAAGTTTCCGATATATTATTATTATCACTACAACTATTATTATTACTATTTTGTTCTGTTTTTAAAAAAAAGAAACTATTTTAAACCTACAAGTTGAAAGATAGGGGAGAGAAATGGAATTGTTTGCTAAATTACAATTTGCTCTATTCTCTGTTATATTTAAAAAGAACTATAAAAAAATAGAATTTTCTCCTTAACATCATTACATTTATTAAATATATTTTATTTCGTCTATTTGGTCAAATATTCTTCTGTTGAGGCAAAGTTGAAAAAAATTCCTATATTCCCTACTTAGGAAGGCTTTCTCCCTAAAGTTTCTGATAACGACGCTTGACAAATCACTGAACTCTAAGATATACATTTGCGAATTGCATTTACTATTCGTAGAAAAGGACAATGGATAAAGTATTGTTGTAAAAATACAAATGTATTAGGTAACAGGCAAGAAAGAACAATGAGAAGGTCCTCGCGCTGTCTATATAGCAGTTAAATGAAAGGCGCGAAGGATTCCCGGGCCAGCCAGAACCTATCTATTTGCGCGAACAGCTAGCGGCCTGAGGGAGACAATAGCGAACATTAAGCATGCAAATATTTGTACTAGCCCTTTTTCGTTTCAGCAGTCGCCAAGCACTAGCACGCGCTGCGGATCGACCATTATCTACGCAGCCTTTTTTTTCTTCCTCACACCACACCTCTCTCTCTCTCTCTCTCTCTCTCTCTCTCTCTCTCTCTCTCTCTCTCTCTCTTCTTTCTCTTCCTTTTCTACCTAATTCACATTCCCTGGAAATTCGACGCTGCTCCGAACAGTATGAGGGCAATATGCAACACAGCTGAGGCAAAGAATTTTTCGTATACGAACTCAGCTATGCCAACATCTTGCCTTGTTCTGTTCGGAAATAAAAACAATTGCTTGTTCGTTATTCACCCTTACTTCACTGAGGGATTCGTCTTATCTGTTAAGATTAAAAGAACTTGTATAATATTTAAAGGTTGATGAGTATATATATATCATAGAAATTTTTATAACAAGTAGAAAACTACTCTATAAATTCAGAAAATATAATAATCAAAGATTATTACTCAAAATAGCCTTGTATCCGAAAGAATTTTATATAAATATCTGCCACTATAGAGAGTTTTTTTTATAGAAATGTGTAGATATTTTTATATATGTATTAATTTTCCTCCAAACATCCGATAACACGATTGGTAGCTATATAACCGCTATATCTGTGTATTCATCTCCAGCAGCTTAACGTTTAGAGACATAAGAATAAATAAGCATATGCGAAAGATTGCATTTTTTTTCTATATTTTTTTAACTAAAAGTCTCTATAAAAACTAAATCTATAGTTTTCTTCTT